CGTCTGGAGAACACGAGTCGCCTGGAAACAGGCCTTCTCCAGACACACCAGACGCTTCATCGCCGAGCGAAGGCCGTCTGTCGACAATCTATGAGGAAAATGAGGAACACAATATTGAAGCTATGATGCTGGAAGAGTGGTACGACGAGCTACGTATGGACCTTCATCCTACGACGATTACCGATGATTATCTCTATTGCGTCCAAACAACTACGCTGCCCGACCAGTGTGTTTTGGTTTCAGCATTTGTGGACGAAGATGATGCTATATCATCAGATATGCTCGGAGACGAGCCGAAATCATGTGAGTCCTGTCTAGTCTCTCTCTGTTCAAACACAGCCGACGAGAGCTACTCTCTAGACAGTGATGAATACGGTCCTTACGTTGAACTATGCTTTACATCAGAAGTGTAAAATAGTGTTGGATCAGACTCAACTTGCACAGCTCGATACCGATATGGTCGCAACGATGAGAGTATATGTATCCTCTGCTGCTAAACGTGCTGTGGTTGTCAAAGAAGATGATCTATTAACCAAAGCCGACATAGCAGCACATCCAAAGGAGGTTAGTGAAGCCTTATATACTGAGCTCAAAATCTGGATTGATAATCGATGCTTTGAGATGTACGATTTATCCAAAGCTTCCAACATCATGACGTCCAGATATGTATACAAGTGGAAGTTCGTAAAGATGGGTACCGAGAACGTTAAAACCATTCGTCTCAGACTGGTCCTTCGTGGATTTATGGATACTGAGGCTTTTGATGTGGAAACATTCTCGGGAACCGCCCGAAGGCAGTCCCAACGACTCCTGGCAAGTGAAGCGGCATGCCATCCAGAGTGGATCTTAGCATCCATGGATATCGATAAGGCGTTCCTCAAGGGTTTGACCTATGAGGAACTTGCCCATGCCACCGGCGAGGAAACTCGCATGGTTTGCTTTACTCTTCCACCAGGAAGCGCTCAGGTACTTCGTACACTACCCGGCTTCTCATCCTACGACGAAAGTCGACACTGTCTTAGATGCCTTAAACCAGGAACGGGTACTAAGGACGCTCCAAGAGCGTTCTCTCAAACTCCGTACGACCACACGAGCTATAGGACTTACACCGACCAGCTACGATCCTGAATTTGAATTCAGCCAAGACCTTCTGGCGGCAAAACATGTCGATGATATTAATATGACAGGTCTAGAGAAAATATAGACGACTATGTACAACGTGTCGAAAAGGTGTTTGGCAAATGCAAGCTCAACAAGCACACATATACGAACTGCGCCGTTCGCTACACTGGACGAGTACATTAAACAACTACGTCCTATCACACACCCAGAACTTACACGAGCGGCGGCCGACGCCAAAGCCACGAAACTCATTACCGACATGTTCGTCAGCCTGCGAGGAGCCCTCGCCTATGCCCTTCTTACCCAAATCTGGCTTATGGTATATGTGGTCTCTCTTCAGAAAATTCAAGAGCCCACCAATTTGCAAGTCAGACGTTTGAATGCTGTGACGCGAAAGCTGATCAGCAGCCCGAAACGTATCACCTTCCCTCGGATGAAGCCGACGAATGAAGTTGACATCCATAGCGATTCGGGGTATCGGAAGCTTACCGGGGAGGAGGATGACGAGACCAAGGGCTACGGCATACGCGGGGCCAACGTACTACGGCGAGGAAACTCGCCTCAAGGCAAGTCCGTCGTTCACCTCTGTGACGGACTATGCAAATCACACCGATTACAGGTGAGGTCCAGTTATGCTGCGGAGGCACTTGCAGCCGCACATAACCTTGATGAGTGTTACCCTACGCTCATTACTCTCCACGAGCTTAAGGCAGGGGCTTTGACTCCACGACAACTACGAGACATGCGTGAAGTTGGAGGCCTTGCTATCAAAGTCTCTCTTACCATAGACGCTGAGTCCGTCTACAAATCTTTATCAAGCAGGGATCTCAAAATACCTACAGAACGGACTCTGCTTGGACATATCAGCTGGATACGTGAGCTCATGGATATAGGTATAGTACATAATGTGCAATGGTGTGATACTAGGGATATGACCGCAGATGGGCATACAAAGGGAAGCATCGATCGGGAGCTGCTTCTGGAAGTGATGTCAGGCACTCAGTCATTTAAGTATGACGTGAAGCAATTTGTTCCCTTTCGGGGTCCCGAGGACAGAGACAAACCCAAGTCTAATCAATTTTAGCCTGTCCTTGTTGCCCTCGCGGTCCAGTCTGCCAGCACGGGCGCCTACTATAAAGGCGCCCCTTTAGCTGCTCGGAAACGAGCCTTATATTTCACGCCTGGCAACGAGCCGGCTTCGTACAACTCAGGCTCTTTGCCTTAATACACATTTGCTTGGTGAGGTATGGCCTAGTTTTGGCTCACCTCTAACTAGGCCGATAGCCCGTCATTGTTTGAAGGGGCTGTCCTGTATTTGCGTGAAATACTTTGCGAGGAAACTCGCCTTACAGTCTGGTGTTTGACCAGACTGTACGCACTGTTTTCTTTTCTTTCCAAACAGTCGTGCGCGCGATCTTTGCGTGCGACTATGCTCTCCGTCTCCTCCCCTCCCGACTTTAAGGGTAGCCCTTTGGGAGATGTTACAGTATCGGGAGCATAGCTCGCGCGCCGCTGCCTTGGGCTCAAGGCACGCGCGCCCTATTTGCCCGGACACCGCGAGTGTTCGCTATGCGCTGGAAAGATCATTACATCGATCTTATCCTATCTTACCCATCCACCCCTCATACTGTACCTTCACAGCAGAGCGATGGATGCAATCTGCCAGGCTATATGCCCTATTTGAGTTACCAGGCTCACTTTCGACTTTTTGGAGGACATCGATCACAGAAGCGGGGTTCTCCAATCACGGTCGCCCCCCCAAGAGGCCAACACGGGGCCAACACTTGGGTTGAACAAGTAATTTTCGTTTCCTCGCCGAGGCCGTTTAGGACGCCCGGACCGCTCGCGACCGGCCCCATCCAGGTCCAGGGTTGGGGGTGCCGCGCCGTGATTCCGTCGGTGCCTTCAGGTGTACGCAAAATTTAGTTGTGTACGCAGGCATTGTTCACCAGCCTCGAACGTATCCCTATCCCTGAGATTGACACGCCAGAAGGCGATGCCAATCTTAGGGATGCACCCTCAGAAACTGAGGAAATCCTTAAGATCGCCATCGTGACGAGGCGATGCCGAACATAGGGATAGAGATATGCTCCAGGCTGGTGCATCGTGGCGCACAAGGGGTGCTTCAACAGCAGCCGTGCCGCACACGGGCGCCGTGGTGTGCGCAGAAGAGTGCGGCGGTGCACAGGGCTGTAATGGCGAACAGTCGCGGCGCTGAAGAAACCCTTTTCGTTTGGAAGGGGCTCGGTGTTCCTGGATTGCTGTGCAGTTTGCCTTGGGTTTTTCCTTGCGTTTTCCATGGGGAATCAAAACCTAACTTATGGGAACAGGAGGCCTCGTTCCTTATTCAGGGTTCCTTAGGTCAACGCCCCGACTGTATGCAGCCGCCGTGGCACACGCAGGCCGGTTCTGCAGCAGTCCTGGTGCACAAGAGGCACTGTGGTGTCCCTGCCCGCGTTGTGCGCACAGGCGCTGTGGGCCTGGACGGCGACGACGACGACGACGACGACGACGACGAACGACGACGACGACGACGACGACGACGACGACGACGACGACGACGACGACGACGACGACGACGACGTAGGTTGCGCGTTTCGGGGCGTGCGCGCCGCGGCCCCCGTTACCGTCACCCCCCCCCCCCCCCCCCCCCCCCCAAAGGTAACACGCGCTAGCCCCCATGAGCAAGACATGCTTCTCGGGGGGCCCAGGACTGTCAGAGAGCGGCTCTGGACGTTTGCGAAGCCGTTTCCTTGAAGACTCGGGCAAGCTTGCTTGCATGGACATGGGGGGGGGGAAGGGGGGCCGGGGGCGTGGCGAGGCTTGGATGGACATGTGGACTTCAGGCAAATTCGAACCCACTTGCACGCCATTTTTCGGCGCAGCGCTGGTTAAAGCGGCAGCGGACGGGGGGGGGGGGGGCATGCAAGTGAGGCTGCCTGGGTCTAGATTATCGAACGGCTCTCCGTTTGCTCCTGGGGGGGGTGCCAAGGTCCAGGAGACGTCCTTTTCATGACCTGCTTGCTTCATGCCACGATCAACTTCATTGCGCAGGCGAGAAGTTTGTAGGCGTGTCCCCGTTTTTTCGTCCCGGGCGGAACAGTATGCCACGATGTAACCTGCAGATCGCCCACGATTGGGCTCGGGGGAACATCTGTTCTAATAAATCTGGGTCCTGCTACCCTCAGCGGAACTGAATGCAAGTCTTGACGGCCTCTTTTCGCAACGTTGAAATATGTGGGGGTCCGGGGGCGCCGACGCCGCGCGAAATCATTTGCGTTAGGTTTCGCAGAGCGATGTGGTTTGCAATTTTCGGCCTCCCCCTGGTCAGGACTGTCAAGCATTTGCTCGTATCCCCCCGGGGCCCACCAGCTGATCATATCTGAAAGCGACCTCTCGCAGGAGGGACCTCTGTTGCGCAGCTTCTGGCGGGACTAAGGGAGTCACGTCCAAGCATGCAGGCCGCCACCGTCGCATCACATGCAACGAGCGGCAGTCCGCGCACCAAGGGTTCGTGCCTAGAACGGTAGCTTCGCATCGTTTCGACGCGCCGCGATCCCGCCGGGGACGTTCAAGGTTCAGCGCCGTCGGTGACCCAGAATCTGCCAGTCTGGAACGATTTGGCGACTGGGAAACCGCCGATCGTTCAATGTTGAACGGTCCACGCGGTGTTAGAAGCCAACGCTGGGGTCGTCACGATTCGAAGTTGCAGTTGGCCACTTCTGCACGCAGCAGAGTTCAGGGCTCATTTGGCATGGTGCCCGTTCCCCTTGTGTCGAGAGGGGGATATGGTCCGAGGTGCCCCTGGGGCTGCCCGCGAGGGGCGCCCGAAGTTTGGGACGCCCGTCGCTGGAGTCACTTTGGCCAACGCCTTGCAGGTGGCCGCCAATGGGCTCGCGATCGAGATTCCGGGGGGCCTGACCTTGCGCTGCGCGGCGTTGTCGCAGGTGGTCGGGGGAGGGGAAATGATGTCGATACCGCTGCCCATCCCTGGTCGCCTCGGCTGAGTTCGCCTCGAACTCTTGGCCGGAACGCGCCCTAGGAGAGGGCCAGGGAACAGCGGCATTGGTAACTTTTCCAGTGGCGGCAAAGAGGGGGGTGATGACTGGGGGGGGGGATATCATGGCGGGGGCCATGATTCAGGAGGGGAAAAAACACACAGGCACAATTCACCGTCGACTCACAGGAGAATATGGGGAGTCCTGTCACTTGTGTGCATTTGTTTGCGTGCCCTTGGGCCCCTTTAACCATGGCGGGGGCCATGATGTCTCCCCCGATTTCACGGCGCCTCTTCTTGTTTCGACGCTTCCCCAGCCCCCCCCCCCCGCCGCGCACGCGCCGCCGGCCGCGACTTGCGCCCCCCCCCCCTCGGACGACGCCCAGAGGGGGGTGGGGGAGGGGGGAGCCTTCCCGGGCTCAGCCACGCGCAGAGGGGGGTGGGGGGAGGGGGGGGGCTTCTTGGAAGCACCCCTGCTTCTTTGGAGGCGAGGACCTTCTCTATAGGTGCAAGGCCCGCGCCTTCTAAGAAGCACCCCCCTTCTAAGAAGCCCTCCCCCCTCCCCCCACCCCCTTGTGCGCGCCGCCAACTTCGTGCCTTCCCAGGCGGGGGACCATCCCATCAAGAGGGCCCCGAACCAGGACACGTTCACCCTGGCAGAGGGCCGCGTCGGCGTTGCGCAGCACTGGCTCTCGAGGAACAAAACACGCCAGAAACATCACCTTTTGAAACTCCGCGCGGACTTGTTAGATCCGCGCTGGGGCCCCTGGCGGCGCCTCCGGCGCCGTCCCTGGCGCGCTCCGCGCGCAAGGGACGGGGTCTCTAGCCCAGGTCCAAGAACTTCGCGCGGACCTCTAAAAGTTTAGGTTTCCGTCGCTTCTTCTTTTTCTTCTTCTGCTTCTTGTTATTACTATTGTTATTATCATCGGCATTATTAATATTATCTTCTTCTTCTTCCACATACAGTGGAGACCCATGCCAAGGAACGCCCTGCTTGCCTCCAGTGTGTCTGGGGGTTCGATGGTTCTTTCATTGAAGGCGCCACGCTTCCGCACCGGAATTCAAGGGACGTGCTGGGGTCTCAGGGCTGGGCTTCTTGTAATAAAAGGTTCTTATGGCCGAGCCCGTACTTCGGGACGATCGAAATAGGTACGGAAAGAATGGGCACAAGGACCCACAGAAGTTCTTGCTCATTTTGGAATATGACTCGTTCGGTTTTGGACAACATTTGATACTGGGCATCGTACCCATGCCCTGCGTGCCCACTTCTGGCGTCCGAACTAGTGTAGGCTCGCCGTCTACGACGGGCACGGGCCGCTCGGCCGGGAGTGCGCCGCCTTCGCCCGCGACCACCTTTGCGACGGCGTCGCCGACCGCCTGGGGCGCGGCGCGGCCGGCCCGCTGGCGGCTGGGGCCGAGCAGGGTGAGGATGGACACGATCCAAAGAGGTACGGAGAGATTCGCTGTCCGCGCCATCGCGGACGTTGTTCCGAGGCGGCCATTCATCCATGACCACCGCCTGGGGGATTGATTCTCGCGGACATCCAGAGGCGGTGGATATGGATGTACTCGGGCCCCCCAGGGGGCAGAAGATGTCCATATCCACCGCCCGCTGGGGCACCAGGACGTCGGTTCCCGGACGGTGGCTGTGGATAAATTCCCGCCTCGCAGCTGTTCATTGAAGGCACAAAGCCGCCTTCCCAACAGCGGCCGCTGTTGTTTTTGGGCGACATCTGTTGTTGGGCAGTGTACCCGTTTTTCCCGTACCCCTATCGGGCGTCCAATAGGGGAACAAACAGTCACGTAAACATGACAACTCGGAGGTCCGCGTCTTGGATCGGCGCCGGACCCCCCTCCCTGGCGCGCGGAGCGCGCCAGGGGGCCCCGGCGCGGATCCGAGAAATCCGCGCGGACCTCCGAGTTTTTATGTCTATGTGACTTTTCGTTCCCCTATCCAAGGACGTGGGCGCCGCTCTAAAGGCGGCGCACGTCGCCGTCGACGACATGCTGCGCGAGGACGGGACCCGTCTGGGGGTCTGAGCTGGCTCAGCGCTGGCTCTCAGAGGAGGAAAAGGTGCCCATACCGCCCCCCCCCCCTCGATTTATGTTGCTCCCATCCTACTGAAGGGCTGCATCCCAGAAATAATTTCGAGCACCCAGAAAAGTGTCAAAAGAGTGTCGAAACAGTGTCGAAACAGTGTCGGGCGAGTGCCTCCCGGGGCCCGACACGTGAAAACCCTTGAGTTTCGGTACATTTTTCTGGTGCTCGAAATTCGTTCTGGTGGTCAAGGCTAAAGTTGGTTGGATCATCATGACCCTCGATCTCGTTGTCGGCCTCCTGGGAGGCACTCGTCGTCACCGTTGGACATTCGCCTCGAAGTGCTGGTCAGAACTGTATCGGTACCTCTTTGGTTTCCCCAGGGTTTGGACGTCCGAGATGGCCCAGCATTACCAGCCTGGAACATATCCCTATCCCTATGCTGGGCACCTCCTCATCACGATGCCAATCTTAGGGATTCCCTTGTTCTTTGAGGGCGAATCCCTAAGATTGTCATCGCCTTTTGGCGTGTCAATCTTAGGGATAGGGATACGTTCGAGGCTGGTAACAGCACTGACTCCGGCCAGCGGGTGGGGCGGGCGGGTTCGAGGTCATGGGTTCGGGGAAAATTTTGTTGCCTCTCCCGGGCTCCGGGGGACGTCTTCGGGCCTGGTCAGATGCGGATTCCGGGGGGGCAGGTCGCTGGTTGTGGTACAGCCCTGCGGTTTCTGCAGTTGTTTCGCGTCTTGTCAGCTCGAGCGCTGGTCGATGCATGACAGGCCGAGCCCTGCGATTCGTAGTGCCACTTGCCGCGTGAGGCCGATCGGCTGCTTCTATGTTCTTACTGTACAGCGCCACGACTTTCCCCGACAAGCCGTAGTCGTCGAATGTGCCAGAGGGGAGCCCCCCCAAACGAACAAACAAAAAAAAAGATACGGATTCCGTGGGGGAGAATTGCGCCAGATGAGCCCCCAGTTGGTGCACGGACCGACTATGATAGGACTTTGCCTGTCCCCCCCCCCGACCGATTTTCTTGGACCCCGACCGAACCAGACCTCCCGGCCTCCTCCAAGCGAGGACGAGTCCATCAACGACCAGGAGTCCGGGACCACGGCGATCTCCATGTATGTCAGCGGCGACCGCTGCTACATCAGCAACGTCGGCGACAGTTGCTGCTTCCGCGGCCACGTGGGCCCAGGCGGTCAGCTCGCCGTGGAGCCGCTCTCGGAGGCCCAGGCCGCCAACCGACCTGACGAGGCAGACAGGATCAGGAGCTGCGGCGGGGTGATCGCCACTGCAAGCCAAGTGGACGGCACCGAGCCCATGGAGCCAGGCGTCGAGCCCACCACCGAGCCCATGGATGATTGGACTGGAGATGGCCCACCACCGCGCGTGTGGGCGCCAGGGTGTCCGCAGCCAGGCTGTGCGTTCACGCGCTCCATCGGCGATCGTGCCGCCAAGCTCCTGGGCGTCGTTGCCGAGCCCGAGCTGAGGAGTCATACGATCACGAGAGCTGACAAGGTCTTCGTCCTCTGCAGCGACGGGGTTTCGCAGTACATGACGGCACGCGAGATTTGCAGCATGGCCCTGCAGCACGACGACCCAGTTGCCGCGTGCGCGTCATTGGTGGCGGAGGCCCGTCAGCGCTGGCTGAGCCGCGGGGGCCGCGTTGACGACATCACAGCACTCGTCTGCCTCGTCCGCCCAGACAGCAAAGGCGAAATGCAGGGCGCCCGTGCAGAGGATGCGATATCGCAGCAGGAGGAGCAGATAAGCCCGCGTGTGGCTGCCTGGGCGATCTCCATGGGGTTCGCGAGCGGGTTTCTAGGTGGGCTCTGCGGCATCCGCGGGCCCCCCATAATCATTTTCTTCCTGCACATGGTGTTCCCGAAGGCTGGGAAACTGGGCGAGGGCTGGCAAGTCCGTGGCTGCTAACACCCTTCCTGGGAAAAACAAATGTCTGGAATACAACTCAGCGCACTAGGTAGTAAGCGCGCTGCTTCCACGAAGAGAAGACAATTTCCCGGAGCTCCGTTTTAGCAGCCACGGGTTTGCCAGTTTTCGCCTGGCTTCTGAAAGGCCATCCAGAAGGCGAACGGAGCTGCGATCACTGTGGTCAACGTGTCGATGCGCATTCTGGGATACGCAGTGGATGCTGCGACAGGCAACAGCACAGCTGTGATGGATGATTGGCCGCTCTACGCGTCCGTGGTGCTCATTTCGCCCGTGGGTGTCGCCATTGGCGGGCGACTCTTCGACCACACGAAAGACTCCCAGGCGAATCTAAAAACCATACTCGCGATGTTGCTGGTGTTATGCGGCATCAGTCTGCTCATCACTGCCTTTGAATGATCTGATGAGGCCCCCCAGCCACACGCAGCTAGAATTACTATTGCATGGAGTGCACTCATCCGCGTCGCCACGCGGCCAAGAGCTTGTTGGAGACGTGCATCCCCGGACCTCGACGTTCTTCCCAGGTTGGTTGCCGACACTCCCAGGGCCCGACACCACTCCCAAGCTACGACACAGAAACAGGCATAACGGCATCAGTTTGCTCATCATTGCCCAGGCAGCACAAGCACATCTGAACGAGAGCATATCGTTTGCTGCACTTGCGGCGACTGTACTGGAGACCGCGCGGGAGGCCATACGGGAGATTATTCGGAAGACCCTGGGTGCGAGCACGCAGAGACCATACGGGAAATCATACGTGAGACCGTACGGCGAAGACCATGCGGGAAACCATGCTGGAGACCATGCCCGAGACCGTGCGGGAGACAAACGGGTGGACCATACGGGAGACCGTGCGCGGAGAACCTTACGGGGGAGAATACGGGATACCGTGCGGGGGACCATGCGGGAGGCCGCACGGGAGACCATAAGGGAGACCATACGGGAAGCCATGCGGAGGACGGAGCACACGGGAGCATACGCGTGAGTCCGCACGAGAGACCATGCGGATTACCAAGAAGGAGACCCCTTTGGAGACCATGCGCGATTCTCCTGTTTCAGCCACGGCGGTTCGTCCGGTCCTGTTTCAATCGCGGCGGCTCATTTGGGGCCCACGGGCTGTGTGGACAGTTGTGGGCAGGGGATCCGCGGCGATCCAGGAGCGGACCCCGGGGAGCTGCCACCCGTGGGATCCTGCCGCCCTGCCAGCGAAGGTGTGCTGGAGTTTCGTCTCCGCCATTCGTTCTCCCAGCCCCGCCGCTTTGGCTCGTCCTCCTCGCGATCTCTCGGAGGTTTTGATAGACATCCCACCCTGACACGTCGATTAGTGAGCTGGCCGTTTTCGGTTCGCGAGAGGGCGCCGCGTCCGAACTTGCATTTGAGGGTCCAGGTCCGTCTGTTTCGGTCCCAGGCCGTTTCCACTAAAGGGAGGTTTACTAAAGGGAGGTTTGTCCACCGCCGAACCTCTCTCTCTCTCTCTCTGTCCGCTTTCGTACACAGGCACGTCGCAGGCAATCCTTTATGGCAATCCTCTCTCTGTCCGCTTTCTCCGAGGTGGCCCGCGTCAGCACCTTCGCGCGTTGTGCCAGATCGCACGGGGCGCGTGCCCGCTGCGCCCTGCCGCAGCCCGCGGCCGGAACGTCGGCAGCGGCCTCGAGCGCACAAGTCAGCAACGGGCCAGTCATTGTCGAGCGTTGTCTCGCCAGTCTTCGACTTCGATCGCGTGACGGGCGCGAAATGATAAGAACAACGCAAATTTTCGGGCCACCTCGGGGCAATCATGCTGGCGGCCCCTGTGGGGGCTACCACGGTGGCCGAGAAACCCGTGGGATCTCGCAGAGGCAGAGATTCCGCATCATAGAAACACGCATGCGTTTTGCAGGATCGTCTGGGCAATCTTGCGGGACTCGTCTGGAATGATCCCCGGGGTTACCAGGGTCCTGCCAGGAGCTTCTCCGGGCCATTTGCACGTGTCTTGCGAGCTACCTTGGACCATCTTGAATCATCATGGGGCCACTGCGAGACCACTTCGGGCTGTCGCTGGGCATGCTTCCCATTAGCCCCCGCTCTCGGGCCAGGTTTGGGCTCTCTTGTAGACCCTTGGGGGGTCGTGGTGTTTTTCTGAGGCTACCACGGAGGCCATCAGAGCCAGCATAGGCAGAACCACATGATCTAATGCTCTGCAATGATTCGGGCCACCCCTGGCATTTTGGTCCACCGCAGAAGCCTCCGACTGCCCGAGCAGGAGGCCAAACCCGGGGGAGCAGGTGCTTCATGCGTAATCCCAGGGGGAGTAAGAGCCCACGCCCAGGATCGGGGGAGCGTAAGACCCGGGTTTGCCAGGACTCGGGTTCGCCATCGTTTTTTTGACGACCGCGCCTCGGATTTTGACGAGGAGGAGTTTCGTGGGATGTCTGCAGCGGGAGGCCTCGTCAAAATGCAGGTTCGGCCTCGTCATTTTTTTGACGACCTCGTCGGGGATTTCCGAGTCCCCTGTACCCCGGTCTTACGTCCCCCTGACAGGATGGAAGGAGGCCACTCGAGTATAGGAGCCTGCTCCCTGGGATGGGCGGAGTTTTCTACTTCCAGGGAGGGCCAGAGGGAGCAGCATGCCACACCCGGGGGCAGAGTGGGAGCCTGCCCCCCAGGGGAGTGGGAGGCCATCTCACGGGGAGCAGGAGACTGCCCCTGGGGGAGCAGGAGCCTTCAAACGACGCGAAGATCGGGACAACATCGGATCGGGGTAGCTCGAAATCTCTGAGCATCGGCGGGGTTGGAGGATGTATTGGGCGCCGCGGCCGCTCCAGAGCGTTCCAGAACGCTCTGAGAGCGCTCCGGAACGCTCTGGAGCGATTTATCCCGATCCTAGCCCTGTTTTAAGCTTCCTTCTCCCAGGTGTACTGGGCCACGCCCAGGGGAGTAGAGGAGCCCACTCCTGGGGAGAGTTAGGAGCCTACTCCCTGGGGGGTAGGAGGCTACCCTCCAGGGAGGTAGGATGCTGCTCCCAGGGGAGTAACGGGGCCTATTCCCCGGAGGAGGAGGCTACTTCCGGGAGAGTTGGGGTCTTCTTCCAGGGAAATAAGAGGTTTTCTTCCCAGGGGAGAGGAGCCTGCTCCCGGGAGGAGGAGAAGGCTTCTTCTGGAAGAGTTGGGGCCTTCTTCCAGGGAGAGTAGGAGGCCATTCCCAGGGAGAGTTGGAGGAGAAGGTCATCCCACGATCTGGTTGCTCGCAGGTCCCCCTTGATGGCGAACGTGGTATGGACTGACACACGCGAAAGCAAATCAGGAGGCCCCGCTTACCACCGAACCTGTCAGGTTCATTCCCTTGCGGTGGGGGCGTTGGTTAAGGAACGTGCATGGGAGGCTTCAGACCCTGGAGGGTTCCTTATCTGATGAGGGCGGCGGCAAGATACAGCTTCAGATCCGCGATCGGAGTTCTACTGGCTTGCAGACCCTGGATTCCTCATCGAAGGTTTCCTTAGCCAATGCCATCACCGTATCGAATCACCACCCTCGCTCCTCTAACTACTGTGCTTCTCCCTTCACTGCGCTGCCTCTCGCGCCTTTGCCGTGCGCCCTCGTGTCAGGGGTTCCCTTGTGCTCGGCCCAGCGTTCTCGGCGCCTTCCGCTTCGGGCCTGCGCCGTTCCGCCGGCCCCCCCCCTTGAAAGGGAGGACGTCCACAGGCGAGGCCTCTCGTGTGTGGCCTCCTCCTCGATGATCCTTACCCTCCTCGATCCTCGATCGGTGGGAGGAGGATCGAGGAGGAGGAGGAGGAGGAGGAGGAGGAGGAGGGAAAGGACCTCCTCTGGAGGAACAGCACAACTGCATAGACATAAAAAGGTTCGGACTCCCTCGCGTTGGCTTCTGAATTACCCTTGTGGCCTCTTGATGGTTTCTTGGGCGCCCGCTGGCGGTCTTGGGGGTCCTCTTGGGGCAGAGGGCTCGACATGTCAGTTCGAAACGACCCCCTTGGGCCCCTCCTGGGCCGTCTTGGGCGCCCCTTGGGCGGCCGTAGTGGGGCCCTCTTTGGCTGTCTTAGAAGCTCCTTGGGCCGCCAGGGAGTGATTTGTGGGGCCCTCCTGGGCCGTCTCAGACGATGTTGGCACCATTGGCGATGTGCGTTTCTTGGTGCCCTCTTCTGGATCCTCTTGGAGCCCTCTTGGGGCGTCTTGGAGCCTCCCTGGGCCGTCTTGAGGATATGTTTGGTGTTTTGGGGTCCTCCCCGTCGTGTTGGAGCCCAGCATGAGCAAGCTTGCATGGCGTCTCCGTCATCCTAAAACAGCCACGGACTGAAGATGCGGAGGCTCTGCATCCACTGGGGGTGCGCGGACGAGGCCGGGCCCATCCCGGAACCTCCCTTCACTCAAATGCGAGTTCGGACCCTGGGGCAGCCTCGGCCTCCGAAATGGGGTCGGGGTAGATGGGGTCAGAGGATCGCGACGCATCGTGGAGGCATTTCCGATGCAACTCAATGTGGAGTCCGATTTTCTCCACGCCGACGTCGCCGATGCGTCGCCGACGTCGGCGATGCACCGACGATGCATCGGCGATGCATTGTCATTGTCGATGCGGCGCGATCCTCCGACCCCATCTATCCCGGCCCCATCTTGGAGGCCTCCAGGGAGGGGAAAGGGGAAGGGGAACAGTGAAGTGTTTCGCACGCCCTGCCACCCCCTGGTAAGCGGGAACGCACCTCAAGGCGAACTCGCTGACGCCTCCGTTTGATCGTTGCCGCGGTGCAGGGCTTCCTGTGTCAACGCTCCCCGTGCTCGGCACACTCTGACGATTCAAGTATTGGACTTATAAGTTTTACTATTTGCATCGCCAATTGATTGAAATCAGTAGACCATCCCAGCTCAGATGTTCTATAAATCGAGCACGCTGAACTATAGAGAGCGTGCCAGAAAGCCCCAACGGCGGGAGACTGGCAAGGCACAGAGTTGCACCCCAATGGCAACTGATAGACTAAGTGGTGGATGAGGCTGTCCACACGGACGTGCCGCGTGGAGGCGGCTGGCCAGCGAAGGCAGCGCGGGCTAGCAACGGCTCCCGGGAGGGAGGGAGCGGCCGACAAGACCGGGCGGCACGTCAGTGGCCCACCCCCGCGTGCAACCGGCGCAAGTGCCAATTCTTCGCACAAGAGCGGCCACCCCGGCGCACTCCGTGCCACGTCCCGCGGAGAGGAGGAGGAGGAGGAGGAGGAGGAGGAGGAGGAGGACGATTTTGCGCTCCTGTCGAGCGGCCTGGGCCTTAGCGGCCTCCAGTGCCCCGCCAGCTAGGCTGCCCCGTGCGGGTCCGGAGGCCCCTGAAAACGGAGGAACTCGCACGAGGCAGAACTCGCATCCCCTGCCTCGAATGCCACCCCCCCGCGTGGGGCCCCACACCCGAAGAAGGAAAGGGACCGCCCCGACGACGACGGCGGCAGCGACGGCGACGGCGACGGCGACGGCGACGGCGACGACGGCGACGGCGACGGCGACGGCGACGGCTATCCCCCCTCCTCTTTCCTCCCCGCCCCGCTTCCTCCTCCTCTGCCTCTGCCTCACCCCCCCTCAGACAAATGCAACAAGGAGGTTGCATTTGAGTCGCAAATTTTTCCTCATCTGTAGTACCACCCGTGTGCTGCTGTTCCCTGCTGTGTTAAGGGGTCCAGGGGCATGGAGTGCCCGGCATGGTGCAAGGAGGAGGTTGCATTTGAGACGCGTTTTATTCCTCATATGTAGTGCCACCCGTGTTCTGCTGCTCCCTGCTTTTGAAAGGGGTCCAGCGGCATGGTGTGCTCGGTACGGTGCAACAAAGAGGTTGCATTTGAGACGCGTATTTTTCCTCATCTGTGGTGTCATTTTGCTTTGGGAAACCAAGACAAAACGAAGATCGTGCGCTGGGTAAAAAAAAAAAACTATTTGCATCGCCAATTATTACCTTCAATTGGGGCGTCGCTGCCGAGTCATGTCCCTTCCTCTTCCTTACTCTTCTTACTCCTCCTCCTTCTCCTCTTGCACTTCCTCCCTCTTGGAGGAATTGGTTCGGCGCAAACAAGCCGCAGTGGCTGTGGTCATTTTCCCGTCCCGCATAAGACTACCGAGAAGGGTTCTGGACAGCCTCGGAGGGCATCCCTAAGACCTCCACGCGGGCGCGAGGAGGCCAGCAGCATGAAGCTGCCCTTGGATTTACAGGGGTTCAGGGCTCTCGCATTGGAATTCAATTTGAGCTGCGCATGCTATGGAGTCAGATACTGCCCATTATAATCGAACAGGGGCCACGTATAATGCAGTGGGCTTGGAACAGGCCAGGGAATCCGCGGATTTTAATGGGATCCGAGTACAGTGAAAAGCCATGCCAAGAACACCGTACTGGCCTCCAGGCTGCCCCGGGTTTCTTGGGTTTCGATGGACTTGTCATGGAAAGCGTGACGCTCCCACACCAAGCATCACGGGACGTCCTGGGGTCTCAGGTTTGGGTGTCTTGTGGAAGCGTCTTTGTGGCCGAGCTCCTATCGCACGCATTTGGTAGGAATTGATCAGACATGGCCCCACGCTCAAAAGCAATCTCTCCGCTCCGAATCAACCTGTCGAAGTGATTTTGTAGGAACGGAGCAAGCCCCTGGGTCAGAGGAGTCCAAGTGGATCCGCATGGGACCCCACTTAGGAATTCAACACGAATTGGGCAAGAACCAATTTCAGAGCATTTGAATGGGATCTAACCTGGCACCCAATGGGTGTTCGACAGGGATGGAACGGACCCCAGGTCCAGAGGATGCTTATTCGATCGGAATTTTATAGGAATTGAGAGAGGCTCCAGGTTCATACTAGTTCAGTTTGCCGCGGGTAGTATTGGAGCGTGCTCCGTTTTGGAGGACTTCGATGGAATTCGAATGGAGCGCGTTGAGTTTCCAATGCGCCAACTTTAAACCTGAATCCGCAAGGCAACCTGTCAACCAAACATTTGTACAAGGCAAGAGAACGATCACGCCCCGTGACAACCTGACAACCTGACAACCGCCACACACCGTTACATGGAACCGCATCTCCCCTGCACCCCATCAAAAGGGGGGGTGCTCGAATCGGAATGCCCCCCCCCTTCTTTGGGATTGCAACGGGAGGGGTCGAACCGTGCCACCCCACCCTTCGCCAATGGCAGACGACGACGAAGGTGACGACGCCGCCGCCGACGACGACGACGGCGACGGCGGCGGCTGCGGCGGTGGCCACGGCGAAGGCGACGCCGACGCCGACGCCGACGCAGACGACGATGCCGACTTCGACGGCGACGAAGACGGCGGCGGCGGCTGTGCCGACGACGCCGACGGCGACCACGGCGACGGCGACGGCGATGGCTACGGACTTCAAGTTGATGGTCTTCAGCTGCTACCGCCGCTTCGGAAAAGCGATCGTCGGGGTAGGATAGAGTAGTGTAGGGAAGGCCAGAGTAGAGTAGGGCAGATGGCAGAGTCAAGTCGGGTAGGACAGAGTACGACGGAGTACAGGAGATCAGACCATAGTATCATTGCAGAGTGGGGAAGGCGTGCAACTTCAATGTAGGTTAGGCAGGGTCAGACAGGGTACAGTGAACTAGGGTAGGATAGATCAGAGTATATCAAAGTAGGGTCGATGGTAGTAGAGCGAACAAGTCGTGCAGGTTAGAGTCGAACAACACCGAGTACATCAGAGTAGACTGGAGTAGGGTAGACTCGGGGTAGAGTAATGTGGGGCATATTGGGAGTAGAGTTGAGCAGGAGCAGGAGCAGAGTATACTACAGCAGAGTAGAGTAGGGTAGAGCCGATAACCATTCCATAAAGAATCGGGTAGATGGTAGAGTGAGGTCCCGTCGGTGTAACAGAGAAGATCCGTGCAGATCAGAGTAGGGCAGATCGAGCATCGTTGGGGTAGGAGTAGAGTCGGGGGGAAACCAAACGAGTATATTTCGGTCGGAAAGGGTCGAGGAAGGCAGAGTGTACTGGAGAAGAGCAGAGTAGGTGGTTGAAGTCGCGCTGGGTTGACGAGTTTAGAGACCATCCCAGTCCAGTCTAGTCTATTCCTGTCCAGTCTGCTTCAGTCCACTCCAGTCCAGCCCATGTCATGTCGGCCTTCCGATATGTTTGGGATCTGCGCTGGCTAATTTGTCCGTGCTCTCTGTAATGTTTGCGTTGCGTGTTTAGCCGTCTTTTTGTCCGTCGTCGTCGTCGTTGTTGTCGCCCTTGCAATTCATGGGGGGTGGGGGCTGTTCGACCTTCCCCACTTCGGCGGCGAGCGAGGGGGGACAGCGAGGAGAAGGAGGCCTTCTCAGAGGGCGGCAGGATTTCTCTGAAGCCCTCGCGCCTTGTGGCAGGTTTGTCCTGCCTCCCCTGGAGGCGTAGAAAACTTCCCAGACGGCTGGAGGGGCTTCCGAGCCTTCTGAGAAGGCTCGCCCCTTCTTACTTCCCCCCTGCTCGCCACCGACCACTCCAGTTGCAATTCAGGAGGGGAGGGGGGAACCCCCCCGTCGGTTCGACCCCCCCCCCCCCCCCCCCGATGCAACCCAGGGGCGGAGGGGCAGCGGCTCGACACCGTCTTGGGAAGCGGGTGGGGGTAGGAGTTTGAAACGGGTGCCTTGGGCCATGCAGTTTTCAGATGAGCTTGCTGTCGTTTTCTTATTCGTCCTTGTGCCGATCGGCGCGGGCCTTCGCACCCCCCATGGTGTAGATCTTGGCTGCTTTTGGCGCCTGTTCCGAGCAGGTGGCGTCTCCCCATAGGACGCACGCATGGATTCAAACAGTCGAACTAAGCAGAGTTCGGAGCTAGACCCCCCCCCCTTTCGCTCAATGTCGAACCGCCGATAAGACAACGCCCATCTTGTTAACGACTGTGCTGGTTCGTTCGGCAATTCCATGTTTCAGGATTTAGAAAAAGCCGACCTCATGGTGGCGAGTTATACATTATTCCGTTTACGGCAGCCTTGCTACATGATTTCTTGTGTTGTGGCTTCACAAACCAAACAACACATCTTTTTTTGTGGCGGCGTCACACTTGGATGCTGTGTGCCGCCGCGTGGATTTTGCCAACGAAGCTGCGGGTGGGTGTGCGGGGTGATTGCGCGAGCAATGGAGTTGACATTTCACGAATGCGCACTCGTAGATTTCACCGCGTTGATGGCATCGCATAGGTTGTACCACGTATGTAGGTATATGGGAATATAGATGTGTATAGGTATATGTATGTATTTAGGGATGCAGGTATTCGTTCCTGTATGGGGAAAACCGCAACCTCCCCCTCCAGCTTTCTCAGTACTCTCTTGGATATACGGTTTGCAGAACACCCTGCCCGATCGTTCATGTTAAATGTGTGTTCGGGTCATTCCAGTTAAGAATCTGTAGCTCCGACTTTTCAACATTGTGATATTATCCTATGCGCGCGTAGCCGTGCACCGCCGACCATGAGTTCCCACGAATCCCTTGCACACACACAAACACACACGCAGTGGTGACGAAGTCCACGCGAGCGTGGCATCGCGCGCGCATGCCGACATGCATGCATACGCCTTTAATATTGAGAGGGTGATCCTAATCGGGCCCCCCCCGAATCAGACATATATATATATATATTATAATATATATATATATATATATATATATATATACATATAATTATATATATACGTATACAAACTAGCGTGGACCTGTATATTAAATCCACGAAGTTGGGCGGATCGAAGCATGGTGGCGCGCGCTGGGTGGTGCGACGCTGCCAGCTACTGCCGTAGATCCCTTGAAGCTTGTTCTAGTGCTGTTGCCCCGCCGCAGGCGCCCAATGTATCGAAACGGGGGCCGAAGTGTTCGAGCTTCGCAAGAGGCAGAAATTCAGGAGTCCAGGCCTGAGCAACGTTGGAAGATTCGCGCCGGGATCGCGGCGGACGCGGGAGCGGGCTCGGGCAAACGCGGCGCCGTATCGGGCCGCGTCGGAGGCGTCGGAACGGCGTCGCGGCAAAGTAGGGAGCGCAGCGGGGCAGCCCCAGAGCCAGCGGAGCGTTAAAACATGTTTCTGTTGCGCCTGCGAGGGGCCTCTCGCCTCTCGTCCGCCACCCTCTGTTGGAAGCAATTTTGAAGCTTCTTGGGAGCCGCTTGGGAGCTCTACGGGGGCTGTTTTGGGCTCCTCGGGGGCTTCTCGGAGCCCTCTTGGGCCGGCAGGGCGCCTCGTGGGCCGTCTCGGGGCCATCTTGGGCCATCTTGGGCGCCTATG